AAAAAAAACAAGTTTTTCATTTCTAACTCAACTAGGTCAATGCCAGGCCTCACTTTGCTCTGTTGTGTGGTTACATTTTCTTACCAAAAGAAAACACAGGGACTTCATTGAGCCCTCTGTGTCAGTCATAACTGAGAAAGAGAGTTTGATCCTTCCTTGATTTATTCTTTCTTTTTTTGATCAAAAGATCAATAAAAATGTTTGCTCAGAGAGAAAGGATATTATGTAAATAATTAGCTCATTCCAAGATTATGTTGCACATATATATAGCACAGTAGAAAGCTTAAAAAGGACTGGAATTTGCAGCAGGACTGGAAGGTTTATGATTTTGTGAAATAGAAACTGTCTCTTTAGTTCTGCTTACCTCGAATGCATGAAGAATGAATTGTACTGGCTAATGGAACAAGACCCTCAGCCCAAATCTGTATTTTCAACTTTCAAAGAATCAGAAATCAGTGAAGGAGAACTGAATCCTAATACTATACTGAACTAAACAGACTCTCTTCATCAATTGATAAAGATGTGTTACCAAACTATGTAGACTCTCTGAGTCATTGGTGTATACACCAATTTCTCCACATGGAACCAAAAAGAGTGAACTTAAGAAGAAACTCTGACAAAGCATTTCTAGGACAGCCAGGTAAGAGTCTGCTCAGACTGGCTCCCAGGGGCACCTGGTCAGACTGACTTTGATGATGCTTTCTTTCTCTGATTTTATAGGCTCAACCACAGAGTTCTCACCAATGGTTTGATTGCCTGAGGTTATCTGAAGCATCAAAGGTAACGCCAACAATACTGAAGTCTGTACCTGACCATTAACCAATCTCTCTATCCCTTAAATGCAAAAGGAAATATGTATGCAAATATTTGTGTCATTTTGCTGTTTTTCCAGTGTTGTCCTCTACTTTCAAAGATAGAGATGATATCGAAGGCTGATGAAGATTGAAAATCATTCCACCCATCAGTACTTTGAGGGAGTCCAGGGTCATCAGTAGATGTGCCGTACTAGGAATAGAGTTTTTTTGTAGAAGGTCTAGCACTAAATGAATGAGCTAGCTACCAATTAGATCAGATGTATGAGAACACCCTCACCTCATTCACCACCTCTTCAACCTGCTCTATTCTTTAATTGTTTCAGGTATCTTTGGGAACTAACCTGGATTTTAACCCACAGATCTGATACTTGATACTCTCCTTCCAGAAGGAACTTTTTTGATAACTTTGACTACAACTCATGTTTGCCTCTTGGATTACTTCTGCTCTATCTGCTCCAGGTAAACATCTTACCTGATCCAGAAACGAACGCCAAGAAAAGTTGGAGGGGGTAGCAACATGGAAAAAGATATTTTAGCTCTGACGGAAGCTCTGATGGAGGCTCTGAAACCCAGACAATGACACAGATTCAGCCGCAGCACCTGAAGGATCCCTGCTTACAATTCAGACTCCATTTGAAGATGTTACACTCACTACAAGTAGTGGGGAAAACTTGGGACAAAAAAGCATGGGTGAAGGAGAGAGTGATGAGGTGGATAAAAGATCTGTGCTTAGTTTGTATCTGAGAGCAGAGGCTGATGCCCTATGTCCACATATGACTCCTGCTCATGCTGCACTGCAGGGGGCTAACAGCAAGAGAAACATAAGGAAGAAAAACAGTTGTAAAAGGAGGAATAGAAGGGAAAGTGAGAGTGTATATCTTCCTTGGCCTCTGACGCTGCAGACACGGGCATCTTCCACAGCCCCAGTTCTGGGTCAGACTTGCGTTGTGAGGGCTTTGCAGTTGCTAATACTGGAGTTGATGTGAGGCATGAAAACAGGAAGCCAATGGGGAACGTTGAGGAGGAAAAGATATCAGTTCTCACTAAGACTTGCAAGGCACCAACTGGTGCTCTGTTGTCAGCAACAAGCCCATATCAGCCATCTTCTGAGGGGGATGCTTTGGCAGACAATGGGAAGATAAAAGTAGGGCAGAACAGCAGCCATAAAGGGAGAAATCAAAAGGACAAAAAGATTGTGGCTAGTCTTTGGCCTCTGACAGTTCAAGCTTGGGCATCTTTTATAGGCCCAGCTCAGATACCGAAGCCTTTTGCAGGGGCTTCACCATCTGCTATTGATGAAGTCAATATGGGGCATGGAAGCAGAGGTCGAAAGAGTGAGACAGATAAAAGGTCCATTGTTCTTTGTATTAGAGGGCCCAGCCTGATGCCTCAGGATTAGCTGTGGCTCTGGGCCAGGCTTCATTGGAGGGGCACCCCTTGCTGCTGACAGTGGGACAAATGTAAGGAAGAAAAGTAAATGGAAGAGGAAGAGCAGAAAGGAGAAAAGTGACTTGGTTTGTCCTTGGCCTTTGACAGTACAAGCATGGGCATCATTCACAACCGCAGGTCTAGTACAGACTTTTTCAGGATGAGTCTTCTGCTGCTAGTATGGTGGTGAATGTGGGGCAAAATAGTTGGTCTCAACTGGAGGAGGGTGAGGAAGAAACAATGTCCATTGGTCTTTGGCTATTGAGACTCTAGGCTGGTGCCCCTTTCTCAATAACAGCTCTGGGGCAGGCTTCCTTTGAGGGAGTTCCTTTTCTGGAAGACATATATTCCAGGGTGAGCCAAATCGGGAGGTTGCCCGAGGGGGAAGATGAGGAACAAGTGCAGAGAAGTGCAGAGCAAATCGTGGAACTCTGTTGGAGACACCCAGAGAGATATCTTGGAAATCAGGACTTCTGGGAATGCACGGTAATGAATTTCGCTAGGCAGATCAATTGTTATTTGGTGGAGATATGCTCACAAGAGGGGATGGAGGCTTTGATCCTGAACAAAGTCCACACCCTCATCAGTACTTTGGTGATTGGAATGCAGGGACCGGAGAAGGAAAGGGCTGAATCTCAGAGATTCTGGATGGGGAAATAGGGAGAATTTTAAGATGCAGAAGAGAAAAGGGGAGCTAAGGAGCAACCTAAGTCCTGGAAGTGCAACCATCTATATTTGGTTGGGAGAGAGGTGTTTAAAATGCTACTCTGAAGAAAGAGAGGCTTACTACAGAAATGGGAAATTGCCCCTGTTATATGTAACACTGCAATTACTCTCTTGATGGGCAATTTCTCTCCTAATTAAGTTTTAAGTTTACAAGCAGTAGATCTTATATAATTGATACATACAGGGTAACATTTCAAAGAAGCAAGAATAACTTTTTATGTCTATCCGCTTTCCCATGAGATTCTTCACATCCTTGGGAAAGGTCTGTTATTTATGGCTGATAATGATGTTATGAGTGTAGGATATAAACCAATGACATAACGTTTATTAGATCCCAAAGACACTTCTCTTGACCAGAAAATGTCATTGTATGTTGTATATTAGATTGTAAACTGCCTTAATGGTTGCATTTAGTTCTAGGATTGGCTAGTTTATAGTTGTTAAAAGCACAGACTCTAGCACTATAGTGTCTGGGTTCAAAGCCCACCTTTGCCACTCACTACCTGTGTTCCTCTGAGCAAGTTACTCTACTCTTTTGAGCCCTACTTTGTGCTTCTAACCTGGGGAAAATAATAACACCTGCTTCATAGAGTTGTATGAAGATTAAATGAGGTAATAAGTGTGATGCACTTAGAACAGTAGTTGGCAGATTATAAGCCCTCAAAGTCACCTATTTTAATCTTGAAGCACTAAATTTCATGGAAAGGTCTAGCACTGTTGTATTATGTCTTAAAAGTTATATAAACGGCAGTACATACATAAGACAGAATACAATGTCCCCATTTAAAAGTATGGTAACAAAGAATCTTAAAGCCAAGGGAAAATGCTACTTAAGGGGAAAAATCAGGCAGTAAAATGGTAGCTATCATTTTGAGGTAGTAGGATCTCAACCATGTCAGGAAAGTGTGCAGCAATAAAGGCTAGGAGAGAAATATGCTACAATGTTATTTTGGTTACTTCTGGATGGTGGGATCATGCATGGATGATGTTTTCCTTCTTCTTGATTCTTGTCCGTAACTCCCAAATTTCTACATTACCATGTAATCAGCCAATAAACAAAATAAATAAATGAGGGGAACAAGAAGACTTCTCCATGGTGGACATGTTAGAGGAGAATCACCCAACATGGGAGGTGCTGAGAGGTGTGGACCTTTCCCAGGGAAGACTCTCCAGCATGCAGCTGTGGGGAAAGACATCCGGGCACCTTTGACTGGGGCTGAACAGAACACAGAGGACTACGCCACTGCCAGGAAGGAGGTGGGGCTCACGTTTTCCTCAGACAACCTGTGGCAACAAGGGAGGGATCTCATTTCTGCTATAACCAACCATTGCCTGATTTTGCAGAGACTGCTGCTCTGGCTATATTGTTGCCGCCATCTGCCAACTTTGTTGAAAACTTAACCGGGAAGCTTGGCTGGACAATGTAGTTGGATATAGGACAGTGTAGTTGAGATTTAAAAGTATCTCTTTTGACCATTTATATAGCCTAGCTTTGGAGTCAATTTAGTTATGCAACATTAAAGGGGTAGATACTCATGGAAGGCTGTGGAGGTGGGGTGGGGGTGGGAGGAAGTGTCCCGTTTAAGTATCCCAGATGCTCTAGCAGGACCTTGGGAACTTTTGGGTGCAGGTGGGACTTTTCCGATGCCTACTCATCTCCTTCCCCGTGTGGGTACATATACCCATGATTCACCATAGGGCTAATTTTTTAGCCTAGTGTGTTCACAGGAGAAAGAGCACAGGCTGATAGCAGGGCAAATTACACAGTCAACTGCTAAGAGGTGCTCAAGGATTTCCCATTCAGGAACCCCTTTTCCCACCACTACTCTAGCACACAGTAAAAAGTTAGTTTTTTGGCTTGATGTGCAGCCTGGCTTTGGGGTCCACTGTTCTGCTCTGCAGAAGAATTGATGTAGGTCCAGGTCAAGGACCTTCATCAGCCACTGGCTGAATGGGAACCCAGTTTTGGATGTGATGAAGAAAGACATGAAAGTTTTGAGTCCCCTTGGTAAACTTACTCTGTCCTCTCTCTGGAGCTACACTGGAGCAGTGGGAAGGACTGGAACTGAGCTACCTGCCCCAGTGAATGCAAATACCTGCCCAGGAAATCATACAAATAATTTAGGAGCAAACTTTGTAGGACACGAGTCTGAAGAGTTATGCAAAAACCAAAAGTGCACAGCTTGCTCTCAGAAGACTCGAACAGTCCTCTCTGCTTTCCCTTTATCCTGCCATGCCCCTTATCTCACCCCCAAACTATGCTTCCAACTCCCAAGGCCAGAAAGGCAAAATACAAGCCATCCTTTCACAGAGTGAAACCTTCAAGGATACAACAGGAAGCCATGGCCTTCTCCACAGTTACATTTTCTGCAAGATTAACAATGACTTGGCTGTTTTACTCATATTCCTTAATGACTCCAGCAATTCAGCTATTAAATGATAAATCCTTTGTATATTCATGACAGGCTGGTTTAATTTGGTAGCTCAAATGGAAACAATCAAGATAATTGAGTTACCTCCGAAGCATTAAGGAAGCCAGCTGCTATGCAAGGTGGAAAACAAACTATACCAGCAGCAAGAGCCTGATATCCCCACCACCCACACACAAAATTCTGAAGCAAGAAACCAAAAAGGGTGAAAAATATAAACTTTAGGAAGGGCAAGTGGAAGATAAAAACAGAGAAAAGAGCTTCAAGTTGCTTCTCATCACTCTCCCACCTCCATTTTTGGCCTTTATCTGGGCAACCAGCTAAAGCCAGCTGATGGGATTTACCTCAAATGTCTCATGCAAGGTCCCAATCAGCTAAAGGGGAGGCAGAAGGAGAACAGGCTAGCTACTTGTTACGAGAGATGATCTGGAAGGATGACCTCTGTGGAGGCTAAAAAATAATAATTTTCGTAAGTTCTTCTAGCTGGGTTAATAATCAAATTAACAAAGACACATTAACAGTAGAAAATCAAATTTTAATACTTGTGCATGGGGAATTCACATAACCATGAACATTTCAAAGATAGGCAAAACTGCGTCTATATGCCATTTTGGACAAAAGAGAAAAGGGCACGATGGGATTTTAGATTTAAAAATTGAAATGGGTGATTTATAGCTAATTGAGGAAGAGCCTAACATACCTAGCATATAAATTCATGCTTCAATAGGATACAGGGGATAGTCTAGCTACCAAGCCCTTCTGCTTGGCGCCTTCCTGTCTATGGTACTTAACTCAAATTAGGCTAAGGTGAATAAGCTAAGATTTCTTTCCTGGAGCAGGTATTTTGGACTGAACTTCTTAGGAAGAAAAAGAGGA